TTTGTTCTCTTTGCTCTTGTTTCTTGTGTTTGGCATTTATTATGTTTTTATCCCCGCCAAATATAAAATTCTACTGGTCTGTTGCAACAAACGGGACTTTTCTTGTTCAAATGTAATAACTCTTGAGTACGAGTATCAAATTTCAATATCCCACAAATAAATCAAATGGTAAAATATCAAATGTCAAAATCAATCGAATAAATCAAGTATGGTAAAATTATCAAATGTAAATATCACACAAATAAATCAATTATGGTAACCTATAAATTGTCAATATCACGAATAAATCAATTATGGTAAATTGTATCTTAAAAAAAAATATAAATCTTTATGTCCTCAAATTTTACATAATATTTCACTTTATCCACGGCATATAAACTTTCAAATATCTGCTCGTCTACTCCTATCCTTTCAAATTTGCCAACTAGAAATATTTTTCAAAGCTTTACACGTTGGGGGCCATTTTGTTAAGCTATTTAAATTGTATTCTATTGCTTATTTAGAAAAGATCCTGTCTATATTTATTAAATGATCTAATCTCCAATTAATCACAATAAATCAGCATTAATTAATTACAATCTCAGGCTATTTAACTTGTACTATTTACCTTTGATCGTGGATTCAAAATATTTTTCAATTGGCTTCCTAATTGGGATAGGTAATATGACCTGAATAAAATACACAGAATTTCAACTGAACTATATGTGAGATGTCCTTTATTTTAATGAAATTTTATATAACAATCAATCCTGTAATATTTGCAATATAATACTTTAAATATATGAGAAGTTGTTTTCTATCATGGACCCAAATGTTATTTTACATTTATTTTTAATATGTGTTATAACTAAGCTCTCTTTATAATTTTTTTCTTTAAATGATCGCAAAATTAACTGTCTCTATTATTTATTCAATTAACTTAATTAATAAATGAAAACCACACTCCTGCTCTAATGAAAATTGACTGACCTTTCGTTCTCTGCCGTTGCAATTCTATGGCCACGCCATAAAAAAAACCTTTCTCTGCTTCTGCTCCTATTGTGGTCCAGAAAACGTACACCTTTCTCCTATCTGTCCTTGTATCTGCAACCCAACAACTCGTGTAATTCTATGCAGCCTCCTTTTGAGCCAATCTCCGCGCCTGTTTATAACTTCAAATGTTTCCGGCTTCGTCTGATATTAATATTCTTATACCCTTTGGTTTTTCTATCTCTCTGTACCCCGTTCCTCACACTGATCAGCTTTTACACAGCAAATAAACACACCCGGTAAATTACGTCTTCGGGACTTCAAACAAACACAAACCACAAAGCTCCTTCCTTCTTGGGCGACGAAAACTGACTAACTCTTTTCCTCTCTTCTATCTCATAGCCAAAACCACTACCTCCTTGCATTCAAAAATTGACCAATAAAAATCATCCACCTCTGTGACGTATATCGTTACCAACCAACTCTCTCTATAAAACGTCATTCGGGTAATTCCAGAAAACAACATTCTTTAATTATTCTAACTAAATCTATCTGCTTTACAAATATTTCTTACTAATAGCTACAAACGATACCTGTTTCTCAATTCAATGTCTTTTGTTAATAAACTTTTACCGATATAATCTTTCGGGGAGAAAAACCACCGCAAATCCCGGTCTATTGTTTAAACACTGTCTATATACAGTTTTTTTCTGGGTAAATCCATTCCACAATAACCGACTTATTTAAATTTCTTATCGATAATATTTGAAAGTCTTGTCTCTGAGGCCTAATGAACAATTCTTCGAACAACTTAAAATACATATTTTGTCTTATACAGGATGTTTGAAAATTTATATGCCCGTGTCTTTATGAAATATCAATAATTTTAATTTTTATTTAAGTAATAAAATTTGTATATCGGTTTTTTATTGCTTATGGACATTCAAAAGCACAACAATATATATACACAAAACTTCTTCTTCTTCTCTTCCTCTCTGTTTTTCAATGTGATTCAGAAGTTGTCGTTCCATCGTTTTTGTGATCTTTCTACTAATTGTCTTTCTATTGGGCCACTGTCTCTAGCCGTCTTTACTACTCTATTTGTTGTCATTCGGCTTATATGGCTATTTCTTACCATGTTCTTCACCTTGCATCAACGTCGTATATCTAGATTTGTAGCTCTGTCCCATAGTGTTTGGCCATAATTTGTTTTAAGTGTTTTTATCTCTGCTGTTTCCAATATACGTTTTCTCCTCTCTGTGTCAGGTCGTGTTCTGCCGCGTGTCATTATTGGTCTGTTCACTGTTTTGTAACCTTGTAATCTTTTTGTCTTATCCCATTGCCTGCTTCGATAGGGTCAGTTAGTTTCTCTTCTACTTTTACTTTTATTGTGTTGTTTTGGTAAATATTTTCGATTGTTTGATTATTCCCATAGGTATCTCTCTTGCATACAATAATCTCTTGCCTTCTTATGATCCGCGAAACATAGATATGCCGGTTTGTTCTATTCTAATAATTTTTCTTACAGTTGCCTTATTAGAGTTATAACGTTGATACAAGATGTTCTCGATCTAAAACCTTGTTGTTTTTGTGCTATGTTATAATTTCATTCAGTTTATTTATTATTAGTTTGGTTGTTTATTTTAATGTTGTGTTTAATAAACTAATTCCTCTGTAATTTTTCAGGTGCGATTTGTCTCCTTTACTTAAGGGAGGTATTAGGATGCTTGATCTCCATTTTTGACCAATTCTATTTTATTCAATTATTTTTTGATTACCTATTTTGATTTGATACTTTCGGAATTCGTTTGGTATTCTGTCCTATTCTACTGATTTTCTATTTTTAAATTTCCTTAATGCTTTCTTTACTTCTTTCTCCTCAATATTTAGTTCTTCGTTTGTCGTCACCTCTGGTAGTGATGGTTCATTACTGTCACTTTTAGAAAATTGGGATCGAAATTAATCTGCCCATGATTTTTTCTGAAAGTGTTTCGTTTTTATTAGTTCGTTTATCTCATTTTCTTCGTCCTGTTTCATCTATTTTAAGTAGCTCTGCTAGTGTTCCTTTTTTTTTGTCTAAAGGAAGTTTTTTCCATTTGTTATTATTCTGTTGTGTTTGTTGTATTTTGGATTACGAATGGTTTAGGTAGTTTTTTTTCTCTACTAAAAATTCGTTCGTTAACCTTATTCTTTCGTAGGCGTTGTTGACTTCTTGTTTGGTTGCATCATCTGACATATTTTGATTTTGCCTGTGCGTTGCTGCCATTCTTCTTGCGATTGCATCCACTTTTTGCTGAGTTTAGTAGTGTGTTTATATCTCGTCAAATATAGATGGCATCTTCTGTTTTGTCCTCTTCTTGGATTTTAACATCTTCCATAAGTTACCGTGGTTTTCTTCTGCTTTCCTGATGTTGTGCCATTTGTCCTCGATGATACTTCTGAGTCGTGTCCTTATATCTTCGGATAGTTTTTTCCCCGTAGATATTGAATTTCAGTCTTCTAGTCCTTTGGAAGATTCTTCTAGTCCTGTTTTTCTCCTTTATTATTTCCTTTATCTTGTTCAAATATTAAGTGTGCATTAAAAGGATTGGAAATATATACCTATTGTACATTCCGTTATAGTTGTGGGTTAAAATAGATTGCACTTTTTCTAAATTAAACCATTCCAATTAGAAATTACTGGAATATAATTTTTTTGATGTGGAACACGACAGGTGTCTCTATCTGTGTACAAATCTTGAAAAAATAGTAATAATCCAATGTTCTTGAAAAGCATGATCTTTTTTAATTAAAGCACACAGTTATTATGCCAGTTTCTCAATAAATCAGTTCAATCATACTATACTGTTTATGACATACCAAATAATCATCCACCGCCAAGTGTAACCATTTACAGCTTAAGATCACTCATAATTAAAGTGTATCAAATATGCATAAAAAAACTAAGGAACTGTGAGCAGATGAAAATAATAAACAAATTATTAATTTTACGTGTGTATCACCGATTTTATCAACTTATATCACTGCTTTTAAATAAATACTAATCACAGCAATAAATAATTAAAAGTGTTTTAAATTTTTTTATCAAAAACATGTCTTAGATCTGAGTACATTATGGTTGTGAACAGAAAAGCTACGTTCTGTATGTCGTCCCTACCATTTCCAACTATCGAATGTGAAAAATCGGGTTTTTCAGTTTCGATACCTTGTCCTTGCATTAAACGTGATACACCTTGTAGCAAAATATCGAAATTGTAGCTTGATTAGAAACGCGGGAAATATTCTGTTTAAACCATCGAATATGAACATTTTGTCATTTTGTTTTGGTCAAAATATCGAATATGCTGCAAACTGACGAAAATGGAATATTCGATATTTTGTTTTGTATAAATATAACTAAAGGTATATAATATGTACAATGCAAAATGACGAATGTGCCACATTTATTATCTCCAGTATACAGTTATTCAATTATAATCTGCAAACTGTCGAAAATACTAAACATTGCTGACAAGAATAAACGCACGTGTTCACAATTTGTGAATTATTGCTTCCAAGAAGTTCTTTCGGTGAGGCACTTTATTATTTTGTTGTTTTAATGTGTCACATACATTAGTTTCAGAGTTGTAATTGATACAGTTATTCAATTATAATTTGCAAAATGTTAAAAATACTATACATTGCTGACAAGAACAAAACGCACGTATTCACAATAATTGTGTGAATTATTTCTTCCAAGAAGTTCTTTCGGTGAGGAACTTTATTATTTTGTTTTTATCGGTTTTTCATCTGATTAGTCAGTTAACTGGGTACAGCTAAACCAACAATAGTGATGTTGTCAAAGCGAGAATTATTTAAAAAAATATTAAAGAATGCTGCCTTTGGGACGTCGTCCACACAGTGTAATTCTCCTTTACATGTAGGGGAGACAGAAGACGTCGCCTTTGCCAATAACGGTGAGTTTATTTTTGTAAGAAAATAATAAGTATTTATTACATATGAATGTTATTATTTTGCTATGGGTTTTTCAGGTGCTGAAAAATCAAATTCCTCTATACGTAATTATGAGCAATCTGATAACAACGATGGTCAGCAGTCTCCAGATTTTCTTTTACCTGATAATAAAAGTTTGATGGAAAGAGGTAATAATATTTAATTTTTTTTATTTACTTAGGCTCACTCAAAGGTAATTTTTTTTATTTTTTTGTCTTAGATTTATACCTCAGCTTTACAGATGATTCTGACTTGGATCCTATATTTTCACCTACAGATACAAGTAGTTGTGAATCTGATGATGAATTATACATTCAGAAAGGTATGTAGTTTTCTTGACCGCTACACTTTAAAATATTGCAAAAACCCTTGTAACTTTAATCCCTTATTTTAGAAATCACAGTAAAACATTTCTTTTAGAATCATTTTCCAAACCAAATGTTAATAAATTATTCACGTTTTAATAATTCTGTGTTAGATTTTTTTTTATTTTATTTTTTTGTTTATATATTTTTTAATTTAAGGTGCCAAAGATTATAAAAACCCTAAAAGAAGAAAACGACAGATCGAAACCATTAGTCACGAAGCTTTGAATGGCTCATTTGAAATGGAATCAAACCATGGTGAGAATATTGAAATTGGAGAATTGACAGAAGGCAATCCAGTAGTAAATACTGTAAGTAGTACCTCTAGTAATCACGATTCATTATTAGGTTTACCCAAAAAGCGTTGTAAGTCGAACAAGAGTTGTTGGAACAGAAATATAGCCAGAGCTTTTCGCCTAAAAGGGGAGGCTTACGAAACTAAAAGTGGTAAAAAAATTTCTGCAAAGCCTATGAGACCGTCCGCGTGTAGTAGTAAAAAAAATCACGAGTGTTACTTGAAGTTTCCAGAGAATAAAAGACAAATTGTGTTTGAACATTTTCATCAGTTGGATTCACTTCATAAGCAGCGCGAGTTTTTTATTAGGCATATTACTGAAGAATTACCAAAAAGAAAGGTTGTCAGTGGGATATCAAGAAAGGTCAAGACAAAAAAATATTCATTAACGAGTGACAATGAAAAACATAAAGTATGCAGGCAGTTTTTTCTTGATACTCTCGGTATCAGTGAGGGATTAATAAAAGGGGCGTTTCGAAAATTATCTTCAACCGGAATTATTGAACCTGAAAGAAGGGGCGGCAATAGATTTAAAAATAAATTAGGGGATGACAATCAACTTGTCGATGCTGATGATGATTTTGTTAAAAATCACATCCTTTCGTTTCCGGCTTTGGAGTCACATTATTGTCGGAAAAAATCTGATTTTAAATATTTAGACTCAAAATTAAACATTAAAACTATGTATGAAATGTATAAGGAAGAATGTAAAGTTAAAAAAAACAAGAAAAATGCTACGAAACCTACAGGAAAATATTTAGAAATTATAAATTGAAATTTCATAAGCCGAAAAAAGACCTTTGCAAAGTTTGTGTCACTTATGATGGTAGTCCAGATGACGAAAAGGTTTTAAACCGTGAAGCATATCACAAACACCTCGAAAGAAAAGATGCAGCGAGAAAGAAAAGGGATGAAGATAAACGGTCGGCTTTGGAGAATAAGAAAATATTAGCATTTAATTTCGATCTGCAATCTGTTTTGTCAACGCCTAAAGGAGCAGCAGGACCTTTTTTTTATGTAAGAAAACTTGCCATTTATAATTTGACCATTTATAATTTAGGAGACGGGAGCGTTCAGTGTTTCATATGGGATGAAACCGAGGGAAAACGCGGTAGTACTGAAATTGCTACATGTATATTTAAATATATCATGTCTTACCCTGATATTGAACATGTCAAAATGATGTCCGACAATTGTGGTGGACAACAGAAAAACTTTACTTTTTCTGCCATGTGTCAATATGTTGTTAGTTGTCACCCGAATTTAAAAACAATTGACCATGTGTTTTTTGTACCGGGTCACTCAGAAATGGAATGCGATTCTGTCCATTCAAAAATTGAATCTAAGTCAAAAAATTCCCCTGTATACACCCTTGAAGGATGGGCACAAATCATACGGCTTGCTCGCACTAAGCCATATCCGTTTGAAGTGACATACCTACTTCATGACGACTTCTTAGATTTTAACCAAAGAAAGGTGAAATTTGCACTAGAAGATAAAATGAAACCAAGGAACAAGCAAAATCCATATAAAAAAGAAAATAAAGTGAAAGATGAAGATCAAACAATTAATGAAAATACTAATTTTAAATATAGTGATGGTATATGGTACCAGTATCGGAAAAATGAAAATACCAAACTTTACATGAAGACTAGCATTGACGGAAACTTCTTATCTCTTGAAACCATACAAAAAAAAGGCAAACAAAATAGTATAAACCCTGTTAAGGCATACGACGAAAGACTCCCAATCACGGATGTGAAGAAAAAAAACCTCTTGTCACTATGTGAACAAAACTTAATACCTAGGCCATACCACCAATATTACCAATCTTTACCAACATCTAATACTGCCAGAGATTGTCTTCCAGAACCTGATGCAACTGAAGACAATGATAACGTTGAATCTAAAATTTAAGACTTTACTTTAATTTATCATTATTTTACTACTGATTACTTGAGGTATCTACAGGACGTGAAGTTCCATAATTGTATTGTGATTATTTTTAACTTTTCTAATTACATTAATTTTCTATCAATACGTACTTTCATAAAAATACTTTTAATAATTTCTTTATACATGATTTTCCCATTTTACCCTATAACTTCAATTTTTAATTAAATTATTTGTAATAAACTTTGTAAGAACATTGAGATTATTTTCATTTTCCTGTTTTTCAATTAAGAATATTAATGTGTTAAAATTAGACCAATATGAACTGTCGAAAATGCCACATTCGCAATTTTGAAACATTGCACCAGATAAATGTGCTAAAATTATACAAATATGAACTGTCGAAAATGCCACATTCGCAACTTTAAAACATTGGACCAAAACAAATCGTTAATTAACACAAAAAGCAAAATAACGAATGTGATTTTGTGGAAAGAAGCAAACGGTTAGCAGTTTTATTCTGATATCAATCTAACAAGGATCAAACATTAATTTTTAAAAATATAAAAAATTTTCCATTTGTCAAAGCGCTGATTTAGAATTCTCTAAAAAAGAGTTATTTTGCTCTCCTGAAAAGTACCACTTTTCACATTCGATAGTTGGAAATGGTAGGGACGATGTGTGTGGATTGGATTTGATTGCAATTAAATGTAATTGGAGCATATTTTAAACTATCAAGTGATTAAGTGTTTATATTAATATTTTCCACAAAGTAATCAGAGAGAATTTAAGCCACATTTGCTAACAAGATATATCCTTAATTTTTCTGTATATTTTTTACAATTTTTCATTTTGTATTCCCCCACATTGCTACTAAGATAGTTTAAAGCTAATACTTAGATTTACATACTCTAATAAAGACAACATACTTTAAAATAAGATCTCAGATACAAACATATTAAAATTAATCTGAAAAGATACTAATTGTTGAGAGAGTAGATTATTTTGTACCAACTTTTTTGAATCATTAAGAGCTTGAAAATTTTTATCTGTCAACTCGGCAATTAATTGTTTTAGACCAGTAAAATGTGTAAAACAAAAAAAAAATGCTGCTTCCAACCAGGTCACCTAGCTTATTATTACTTTTTTACTTTTTTAGAAGGAAGTGGAAGAAACATTTAGAAGATTTATCTTGTAAAACTGAATTCTTAAAGGTGGTTTAAAAAAACATTTTTATTATAATTTAATAAAATATTTTAATATGTTATCATGATTTCACCATTTAGGGTATAGTATAGGATAAGAACAGCCAGAACTTATTTTAGAGGGAATGGAATCTGGTAAAAAAAGCTAGCTAATTATTCTTGTACTAATCTGGTAACTGTTAAAGTATTCGTTTTTTCTAGCTGTTTCTGGGAATTATATTTACTTTAAAGTACGACTGCTGAACTCCAATCAATATTAATGAGCTATATAATGGACCAGTGGAATCCATGGTTTCATTTACGCATAAGTACAAATAATTATTTTTTGACTATTTTGATTTTTCCAATCACCGCAGAATACAAAGTTAGTTGCAAGTGTATATGGGATTCGTATAGAAACGCTGTTTTATTGCGTTATGTACACCAAAATCAAGCGGATTTATTTTTGGGATAAATGGTGGAGAAGGAAAATGACTACTACGACAATTCAGTGTTCAGGAAAGATTTTATTTAAGTATATTCTTACAACCTTTGTATAATATGGGTGTACACCATCTTGCATGAATCACATATTTTGCCCAAGTTCAATGGAAATAATTCCAACAAATATTAAAATTTAATTTAAATTTTAAACATTTAAATAGTTCTCACCATTCAAATTACAAAGTAACTCGGATATCCCTAAAAAATGATAACCAATGATTTCACACCGTAAGTTTACTTGAAATTGATGTTGAAATGCCTCTATCTCTTAACATGAGGAATTTCAGTGTTCCAGAAATGATTGTTCAATAAATTAAAAACTCCACGCGGCGTGTAAATGTAGCTTCCATCGTAAATAATATTCTATCGACGAAGGAGTAGTCAAGATTTTGCCTGTTTCAGATATGATTGGCAAATCCGCATCTTAAAGGTAAATCTGCTAGCAATAGATCATAAACTGGTGTATAATGCTCATGGTAAAGGTGAAAATGCTCGTGGTGTAGAATTTTTAAAACTAGAGTTTGCTGATTTTTTACGCTGAAGATAAAAATCAAATACTTACTAAAAAAGCATCGTCAAGGTAAACTATTACTCTTGATCTTCTTGATCAGCCGTAATGATTTTAGATCAGCCTAATTTTTTACGTTTAGAACGAAATAAGCAATTTTTGTCTATCTTCATAGATGTTTAAAGGTTTAGTGATTATTTTCTTCTTTTTTTTAAAAAACGAAATTAAACTAGATATCATAAAAGTCACAGATTAATCGAAACTAGACTTATTTATGGTTGCCAAAAGCATTCGTGACATCAGCCTACTATGTTAAGGCTTTCTGTATTGCATTTACTAAGATAGGGGTTGTTCACTGACATTAAAACTGGCTTCAAAGAAAACATTTAGCAGTGGTAAGAAAGATTTTTGGGGTGCTACATAACCATCTTTGAGCTGTTTTTGTAAAAATATTAATGTTGTTTATTTACAGGTATTCAGTGCTTTGACGCACAAATATCACAACTATCAATTATTATGCAGTTGATCTGTAAAATGCAATTACCCCAAAAACTGTTGCGTTTTAAAGTTAGTAACAAGTATATATTTTTTGTTAAAATAATGTGGCTTTTATATTATGTTACATATATGGCGCCCTACATCAGCTATATCAAAGTATATAGCAAATTATAATTACTTATAATCAAAAGCACCTAGTTGCTCATTTATATATATATATATATATATATATATATATATATATATATATATATATATATATATATATATATATATATATATATATATATATATATATATATATATATATATGTCTAAAAACATAAAAGTTATAGCAAAAATAAAATTTCAACTTTAACATTGTATTTTTCTTAAAATCAACATTTGATCCCGAAATCCAGCATTTGATCCAGCAGATCTCCCGAAATCGTAATATTTTAAAGTATAAAATACACTTTTGTTAAAATACACTTTTTGTTATTGTACAATTACTTAAGGACCAACCTATATTATACAAAGTGCGCCAAACCTCTGGTTCTCTTTGACTATGGCTAAACTATGGAGTATATAAAAAATGTTTTAAACAAAACTTATGCATAATAAAGACGTCTATGATTTAAAATTATTTTTTGTTATACATGGTCAGTCGAAACAACGAAATAAACCAATTTTTTTTTATTCCTGTATATCTGTAATATAAAATCCTGTATATCCAAGCACGTTTAATATATAAAAATATGAAGAGTTTGTCAAAGATTTTATAGGCCTAGATTTATTAATTTTTAATGTATTTACACTTTTCTTTAAAAAAATGGTAATATTTAAAGTGTTTTAAAGGGTGGCGATTAGGTTTCCAAGGCAAAAGTAAATGATATGTCAAATGTTTAAATAATATCTATGTACGAAATCTAGCCATACAATATTAAGTGTGATTACTAATTTCAAATACAAAATTTTCTTATTTTTTAAATGGGTCACCCTTTATGGTAGTATTGTATTTTATGGAAAATATTACAACCTTTCTTTCACATTAGGTATTATATACCTAGCATGTTTATTTTTGTAGAAATTTAGAGAAGATCTATAGATTTTATGTTTTTGCAGATACTTTATTAATAAACTTTGTGTACCTACTGAAATACAACAAACAAAAATTATAGAAATGTAATATAAATTTACAAACATAAATATCAAATATTAAATAAAACGTATGCTAGTAAAAATTAGTGAGTTACTCACAAACCTCATTATGATACAAAATAGTATTTACATACTAATAAATGTAATAAATATCCAGTTGTTCCTTAAATATTTTTTTTTTCGTCTTTATATAGAGGGGAGTATAGAATCTTCAAAAAACATCTCAGTCCAGGACGCCGCCTGACCTTAGTGCAGGATTCGTTCTTCGTACTCCCGTCGATACTTCCCGAGGTATTTTAAAATGCCCTCTCGTCGCCGAGTTTTCGCCAAAAGCCTACCTGCCAAACCAGCCCCTTCTCTGTCATCCAGCGAAATAACCGCTGTAAGGCCGGCATCACTTCCGAAGGACTACCCTCATTTACCCACAGACTCAATAGCAAGGAGGCTCTCTGTCTCGTTCCAGGTAGCGCGTGGAATACCCTCATCGCTCCTAGTACGGCATCACTGACAGACGGGCATTTCCTACTTCTCCACAGCCTGGCTTACTCAGTTTAACTCATACAGTCTGACCCACGTTTCTAGCTTCAACTTCCAGCATCTTTCCCTCTTACCTTTGCAGTTGGCCCAGCTGTTTTTCTTACTCTATTTTTTTCTTGATCTCTGCACATATATAATAATTCTCTAAATATCTAAAAAATGAAATATGCTAGGTACGTAAAACCTAATACCAAAAGATAGGTTGTGATGTTTTATATAAAATACAATACTAATGTAGAGGATGTTTCATTAAAAAAAAAAAAAAAATAGAAAGTCTTGTAGTTGAAAATAGTAATTGCACTGTATATGGTATGGCTGGATTTCAAAAATAATAAATTATTTAAAAATAAAACTACACTAAAAAATTTCTGACAACAATAACCGTTAGAACTGTTTTTCTAAAGAGAAGTGTAAAGTTTTCAAAAATTAGCAGCTTTAGGCCCATAAAACTTTATATAAATTCTTTATATTTTTAAAAAATAAATTTAAAAATACTTTAATGTACAGGGCTTTTTCATTAAAAAAACACAAATTTGGTTCCTTCCGTTGTTCTGAATGACCCTGTATAATCAAAAATAATTTTAAATCGTAGACGTCTCTGATATACATTGGGTGCGTTTAAAATATTGTATACTCCAATAAAAAAATTTTAATTTACACCATAATATATATTGTATTGATCAAATGAACGAAAATAATAAAATCACAAAAAAATGTTGCTTGTTTTTCAATACATAATGAAATTCATTTTAAATCATTACTTTGAATTTAAGAGATTAACATTAAACAATAATAAATTTTATTCGTTACTTTAGAGAAATACTAAGTGAAATGATTTCTTATCTTTCTTTTAAATAACTCCAGGTCGCCTACATTTGGCGCAACTCAACGACTGTAAATAAATTATCATTATATTGTAATACTTTTAATTGTTAATTTTAATATTAAATGAAGGCACAAACTTAAATTTTTAGTTTTATTTTAGAGAAAATGTTAAACTATAGTTTTTTTTGTAAATATATTACGTAAAATAATTCTGTCCAAAATAAAGACATTTTACTCTCGAGTAAAATCAGATTTATTATAATACTCCATATACAACTAATAAAAGTTGATATCTTATGGTATATGGTATTTATCAGTATAAAGTGCTTTTATTACTTTTCTTGCAATTTCATCATATTTTCTCAATTTAAAGCAAAACGAAAAAAGTGAATAGACATGAAGTTTGTGTTAAACGTTACTTTATGTTTAAATAAACTACTACTATAATAGAGGTAGGGTCGTATACAAGACATTGTATAAAGGTACAAAATAAAACCATTGCTTCTAGTATTCTCCTTATAATTTTATTATATTTTACGACCTTTCGACCTTTTTAGAACTTCAAATAAATATTTTAAAATAAAAATAAGCCTAATTGATTCAATCGTTCTCGATTTGTTATGAAAAGTTGTAAAAACATAAAATACCGTTTGTTAAAGGTCATTTTAAGATATTTTATATGTAGTAATAAAAGTGAGACCACTACTACAATAACCGCTATGACCACGCCATAATCTGCACATATTCTTGTGTTTTACATCACCTCGCATCCATCTCCGTAATATTCTCATTGTGTCTGCCCCAATAAAGGCACGAATGCGGTAAGCTATCCCACATACACTGACCTCGATTTACACCCGCACACCTCTTCATATATATACTTTTCCTTTGACCAAACGTTACATTCAATTCCACTTATTTATTCTTTTTCCGTAATACGGAAAAAGAATATATCTAGCCCCTGAGCTAACTCTACTTTAGCTTCTTCGTGGACAACACGGTTTGTACAAGGCAATATTAAAAGTAGAAGAGGTTTGGGCAGAAAGAAGAAAGCCTGGCTGAGAAACTTAAGAAAATGGTTTTACATATCAGAACATAATACATGCGGTACAAAACAGAGAAACCTATCGTTTGATGGTATTTAACCTTCGGTAGAATACGGCACATAAAGAAGAAGAAGCCGATGTCCACATGTCAGCAATCTCCGCAGGTTGAATAATAAATAACGAGTTCGTTTCTACATTACATCTTTCATTCCTTCCCATTCTGTCTTCTAAATGTACCTATCTTCTAAAGATGTTCGCGACCACATTGACCCATCTCATTCTATTCACAGCAGCTCGAAATCGATCAGTTGATGTTAGACCAGTCCATTTCCTAAGATTGGCCAGCCAGGATATACGTCTACGTCCAGGACCTCTCTTACCCTCAATCTTGCCCATTCTGTCTACTACATCGCAATTAATGTGAGTATCTCTATACTTCTGTCATTTTCTCTCTGGATGCCGTAAATTTTTCGCAAGTACAACTTACGTCCTTCTTCTTCTTCTTCTTCTTCTTCTTCTGGCTTCTCCTCCTTTTGGATTTGAGGAGGCAGATGTTAGGCATTATTCTCCCGTTCCCGCAGTGACCTTGTGGTCTACCTCCCGCACATGATTTTTTAGCTCCTATTCGTGTACAGGATTATTTCCAGATATTTCACGTGTCTCTTGAGGATAACCTGCACTCTCGCAAAGTCCAGATTTAAACCCTTCCTCATTATAGGCTCTTTGAGTAACATAGCCTCAGTTTTCTCTACATCGAGACTCACAGATTCCTTGTTGATTCAGTCCTGAATCAGTACACGCGAAGGAGATAATAAAACCATCGTATGCTAGGTTTTGCAGCAGGGCCAAGGACGCGCCTCTTGATCCACATAACTCATACCTTTTTGAAACTTATACTTACTTTGAAATATTAAATTGAAAACTAAATTTTTTTATTGCAGATATGGATTCTTTATAAAAAATAAATAACTAATATTTTAGACATTTTATTATAACTACTTACGGATCTATTTACGGATCTGCAAATCGAATGTACAGACCATTTTTGCCCCAGATGCTCGTAAATTGCTAATACAAGTACTGAACAAAATGAAAGCCGATGTAATAGTAATTTAATAGATGAGATAGACTGGTTTAGGAATATCCACAGAAATCAAACGTTTTGGCTGGAAGAATACATAATCATTTCATTTGGCCATCCTTCATCGATAATAATCTTACTACTTAAATATAAAAAAAAATTTACTCAAAATTAAATAAATAATTTTATTGTCAAGGTAAGGAGTAAATATTTTTAAAATTACATATCTAAAGTAATTACTATTAAACTGGGAATAAGTCACAATTCAAGATAAAAATACGTTTATTGACGTTTCAATTTCCACTTCGGAAATCGTTCTCAAAATACAAACAGTAAATTTATTTATTATTATTTCAGAATTTACTGTTTGTATTTTGAGAACGATTTCCGAAGTGGAAATTGAAACGTCAATAAACGTATTTTTATCTTTAATTGTGGCTTATTCCCAGTTTAATAGTAATTAATTTACAATGCCACAAGAAAATAGCTTCAGAACAATATTATATATCTAAAGGTTTTGTTGTTTAATTTAATCAGTTTCAAGCTAAACACTCTTTGTGCCATCGTTGTATAGTTAAAGTCACATCGGCCAAACTCTTTTTAGCTTGCTCAAAATTACAGTTATAATCACATTTTAAAATATTTACCGGACTCAGCTCGGATTTGGTTTTAAACAAAACATTCAAATAATGGACACCGTCCTTTCTTTTCTTTAATTCCCACAACACAGTATCAGCGTACTCAATATGTTTCATGTTGTATGCTCCCATAGTGTTCAAAATGGCGCTAAGAGTACTCTCATGAGCCATTACTAGTACGAATTTTGATTTCTGATTCAGCGCTGTTGGATCATTTCCGATTCGGACTTTCAGCGATGTTGGATCGACGAACTTGTTGAAAAAATTGAACAGGTAGTCGTAGAAAGTTCCTATTTTGAGTCTTGCCAGAGGTACTGTATGAGTTTGGATTTCGTATACAATAGCTGCAAAGGAAAGTAAAATAAAAATGAAATTGTTTTAATATAAAAAGGTAAATAAAAAGAAATTTTTCGCATTATTATCTATACCACGTTCTTGGGATATTATGCAAATTTATGACAATATATACGATTTATTTTTTATATCATCCTAGATTATTATTGTATTTTTAGTGCTTAGTTACCAACTACGTAAAAGTGTACTTTATGGCCCGCATGGGCGTAAATATACAAACAAAATGATAACTTATTAGAAACATCTTTATTTAACTATACAATTTCACTAATGTGTTCTACATGGTTTTCTGTCATCCAGTGCTGTAATTTTTTTCATATTCCTTGTCGTAGGCATCTCCCGACTTATGCGGTAGTAACTATTGCGTTGCTTTTTTCGCTTTTTTTAAATTTGGTTAGGAATCTTAAAAATATATTGCATTTTCATGGTTTTAGTTTGAGACGTTTGACAGCATTCCCGTAGCGTAGCAACATAACACGGACGATATAATATGTCTACTAGTAAATATATTGTTAAAATGAAATCAAATTTTCGGATTTTTTAGAACATATTTATCTGTAGATGCAATAACGAAACTATTTTAGTATGACCTTAAAGTTTGTATGCACCGTCGGTATTAACATATGCATATGCCCTCGGGCGACTTATAAACGTTTCTATGTAACAGAATTTATAAAAAAAAGTACAGCAATATGACAACGAACAATGACTGATTCACCCGGTAGAAATTTTGAGTTTTGTATCAACAGTGACAGTGAGTTTTTAGTGTGTTTATTCATATATCTTAATTTTTAATTCATGTCGAACCTTAAAATTATAATTTTTTTAGATAGAGTTATTATATCGACTAACTGTTACTTTATGTTTAATTTATTGGACTAAACCTTATCATGAAACGAATGATGGTGTATGTCTAAATAACCAATATCTATTACGCTCTGTGAAAACTCAAAGAGAGACAAAGATGTAACTTACCCGAAAGATATTTAGTTACATTATGATCCATAGCTTTACTCCAGTCTGGAACGAAGGTTAAGTCATGCTCCTCATACGTAAAAAGGAGGTCCATAAGTTCGTCCACCATTTCTATAGAAACTTTTGGCCATCCTGTTTTATTGGCAATGTACTGCAAAATTTCAGAATGTTTTTCTTCGTAAATAGGAAAAACAGTTTCCTTTACCTAGAAAAAAATATGTAATCTTTCAAAGTTTTAGATTCCCTCAGCACTGTAATATGCTTAATGCAATATAAAAAATCGTGAATTGATAACAATACCTATAGAAGAAGCATAGAGAAATAAAAACTTGTGATGGGTATTATCATACGTCAGAATTGACAGAAATGCAAAAACTGATATATTAGCATCAAGGGGTATATTGTTTAAGATTCTACATACATGCAAGAGCATTTCTTTTTCAACTAAATACTCAGTAAAAATTCCATCAAGAAATAAGTTCCTTATTTATTACAAATATCATAAAACAAAGTAAGTGTCCCAGTTATGACACAACACCCGCAGTGAAACATTCTGCAGAGGAATACGAGTGTTACACAAAACAGAGGTAGGCGAATTAACTTAGCACCAACCTAAAGAAGGTACTTACCTCAGATATAATGAAAATAATAAAATACCCCAGACATTTCATAAATAATATTGTCAATATCAAATACTAAACAACTACAGATTAAATTTTTTTTGTAATAATCTTTTTTAAAAACGATTTCCCGATTGAAAGTCAAAACGTCAAAAAAAACATGTAAAATTTAATTTTTTTTACAAATAATTGTGGTGTAATCCCACATAAAAAATAAAACACAATAATCTTAACTTAAACATGCTGTAAAAAACGGTTTCAGAACCACTTTACACAAGTGGAGTGCTGCTCCTAAATATGAAGAGTTATACTACGATAAAATAATTATTATGTTAGAGGTATATGTGTAAATTGTATGCAAGGTCTTATGCTTTCAGTTATTCTATTACAGGAAACTTTTAGTTGCAACAATTACCAATTAATGTGTTTAATATCCATGATATAAAAACTAAAATATCTTTATTGTAAGTATAAATTAGGGTAGCGGGTAGATACTCTTTTACGTTCCCGGTAGAAGATAGACCTACTTCAGGGATGCGACCCAGCCCACGTGAGCCATAAAAATCCCCCAATATCCTGATACCTAGGAGAAATTATGGCCCATACCCATTCTCCCTTTCAATTACCAAAGTTTCCCTTTTCCCGGCAGCTGCAAGATCGAGCATAAAGAAAATGATCCTAAATGGGTCTAATATTGGATACAACAACTTTTAAATTAACCGAACGATTATCGGTATAAGTAATCCCCACTTGTTGGTCGACAGCTACGGGTGAAAGAACCGTCACGTGGTAGCCTACTTCATTGGCCGGTAGCTGAGAAATTAACTCCGAAAACAGTAGAGCTAAATTAGTCAACGGCTTTTAAATATGGAACCACATTAAAGATCCGCATGGGGTCCATAATTTACTTAATAATTGGGGAGCTCGTAATACAAGATCCGTCAGGGAAAGACAATCAGATTTAGACGACAGGGCCTTTCGGATGAAGATTATGAAGATTAAAATTCTGGGGCTTAGCGATATACAATGACCTGAATTGGGAAAATGTAACAACAAAAATGGAATAATGTAATATTCCGGTAACAACAACTCCAATTACAGGCAGAGACTTAGCATTATAATTGATATGAATTCTCAAAAAGCTGTTTTTTACTTTGTTCCCTACTCCGATCAAGTATTGAAGTTGTCTCTAAACTCTCATTTAAAAAGTAAAATAAATATAAGTATATGCACCCACTGCAAACAAGGATCAAGACACCATAGAGAACTTCTATTAACAAATTGGCAATGTCTTAAAGCTGACTAAAAGACATGATATAAATAATGTATTGAGAGATTTAAACAGTAAAGTGGGTCAACGAGAAGTGGAGAATTGTGTGAAGCGATATGAATTTGGGAACAGGAATAAACGTGGCGATCGGCTGGTTTATTTTTGTATTAATGAGAAATTCATAATTGCAAATACTTCGTTCTAACTTCCAGAACGTATATTATACTTATGGTGGTCACTAGCTGACAATAACAACAAAATAGTCAAAAATCAAATAGATTTTAATTCTCGTTAACTGAAGATAGAGGAATTCTATATCATTCAAAACTTATCCACGGGTGGATATATTCTTCGATTACAATCTGGTTGTTTTGTCGATAAGAGTAAAAATAAAGAATGAAAAGTATCCTAGCTCCATGAAAATCATGAATATAAGGCAGCTTAAACAAGACAACACATATGCGAAAACGAAATTTAAACTAAATGAAAACTTAAGGAAAATCAAAGATAATAATGTAAAAACTTAAACTGTTAACCAAAAATGGGAAAAATTAACATTCCATTGTATCAGTTGTAAAATAAACCCTGGAACCACTTGGGGAAAACAAAACCTTGGGTAACAGTAGAAATTATTGAACTTATGGAAGAACAAACAAAACATGAAGCAAAAGACCTGAATAAATACAGAGAAATTCATGAAAACAACCAAAAGAAAATTCGAGAGGCAAATGAGAGGTGGCTCTATGACAGATGCAAAGAAATAGAAGACCTGGATAAAAAGTATGATAGCTTTAACTTACATAAAAAAAATCAAAGAAATGACAGGTTCTACCAAAAGCACAAAAACGAGTATCCTTAAAAATGATAAAGGAGATATATTACTGATATAAAGGAAAGATTGTTTTACTGGACCAATGACATTCAAAAGTTATTTAATGATAAAAGAGAAGAACTATCGTTATCAAAGCTACTGATCCAGATGACGCGTCCAGCGAATTATTCACACTCATTGATGACTATGTTATTGATGATGGTTGAAGTCTTTAATCGAATATCTTAGACTGCCACAATTCGCAGACAATGACTGCAGTCGACCTTTGTGGTAATACCCCAAAAGTCAAGTGCAATGTCCAGCTCAGATCACAGAACAATAGCTTTAATGAGTCACATACTTAAAACATTTTTGAAAATAATATAATACACAGCACAAATGTTAAAGCTCTTAAATTAATATGAAATTAGTGGCACACAATTTGGCTTTAGAAATGGTATGGGCACAAGAGATGGGTTCAGATGGATTCATGGATATGAATCAGGACATATACTTATATTTTGTAGGTTTTAAAAAGGCATTTGTAAAGGCTCATCATAAAAAGCTTGTAGAATTATTATAAAGCAAAAATATTTGGCATTCGTGATATGCAAATTATATCTAATCTATATTGGAATCATACTGCGAAGGTAAGAGTTGACAACCAGAACAGCCGAAATATCAAAATACAGATAGGAGTCCGCCAGGGTTGCGTGCTGTCACCACTACTCTTCAATGTCTACAGTAAAGTGGTATTTAAAGAACTCTCAGATTCAAAAAAAGCTATCTATCAATAGACACGTTTTAAATAACGTTCATTTTGGAGACGATACAGTAATAATGACGGACAAAAATAATTTACACTAAGTGATGCAACGACTTACTGAATGCTGTCATGAATACGGAGTAAGGATGTTTGAAAAAAACCAAATGCGTCGTCATGACTAAATCAGCAAATGCAAACATCTAATTGATTATTGAGGATACTGTGATTGAGAGTGTGGTTATCCACAAATACTTAAAAACATGAATAACATTAAATTTAGACTAAGCAAAAGAAATTAAGACACCTATTAAAATATCACGTGCATCATTCGTTAAACTTAAAAAGTTTCTTTGTTGTAAAAATATAAAGTTAGAACGAGGCCTAAAAATGCTTTGGTGTTACGTGTTCACTACTTTTCATTGATAAAATGGTAAAATCTGTACTCCGCTGGATTTTTATTTGGGGTTGGGAACTTAAAAGTACATATTTGGAAAACCCTTTAGCTAAAATTGTAGCTTCCTAGGTGGCTCCTGGGGTCCCTTATCGCAGAAATATGGTTTAAAATGCTTAAAATATGACAAACAATCTTTTTTTATTTTTTTTATGTTTTGAGCACATAACTTTACCTAAATATTTGACTTAATCAGTTTTTCTACAGATTTATTAGTTGGAAGTCCTATTTTTCTACAACCTTTTTCGTATTTATTAATTTAGTTAAGGTTAATTAAAGCTGTACATTGACTTGAACAGACCTTCTATGAGATGGACAGATGATCTGAAAAGGACTGCCGGGAAAAATTGGCTACAAGTAGCGTACAATAAAAAACAATGGAAAGGAAGACTTGAAGAGGCTTATGTTCAGATGTGGACGTGAATGGCTAGACGAAGAAGAATTAAAGCTAAATTTAAATAATATTTTTAAAATTAAATAAAGTATTATTAATTAATTGAATAAGTTTTATTATTTTTTAGACTTAATTCAAAGAGTTTAACGAAGATAACAAACAATTAAGACCAGTTTTATTAATTTTTTTGTTAGTATTATTGAAAATATTCAAGATTCCCTACATTTTAGACTCACTGCTTATTTGAATCGCCTACACAAAACTACACAAAATTCATCATCGTAGAATTAAGTATTATTAAGCAAATAGTAATAAACAATGGATACAACGAACAAATAATAAATAAAATTTTAAATCAAAAATTATATAAGAAAGCCCTGAAAAAAGTATTTTCGCCAGCAGAGAAAAACCCAGTACATTTTGCTTTATTATATATACATATTACAAATACATAAAAATAAAGAAATAGTACCAGCTATCAGCACAAACAACAACTGAAGCGAATATTTAACAAAAATATAGAAGAACACAAAAGGGCTTTTAATAATAGAAAAACAGATTCTAAGCACGCACTTCACCTTCTGGACCACAATCATTCTTTTACTGACCAATTTCAAATTCTTCACATTCAGAAGGCATTAGCTATATTTAGAATCTATAGAAATTAACAAATTAAAAAGAGACATAATGCTGACTAACTAACTTGAGACATACATTTCTACCCTCCTCAACTTATTCAGTTGAAGACCGTCAAGTGTAAAAAATACATCACTCGATAAAGGCACTCTGCCGAAATAGCAGTATTGGTAATAAATTATAATAAATTTTGTAAAAGTTTTGAAAACAAAAGTTTTTAGTGTTTTATTGTTAGATATTAAATGTTATTTATGTTGCTTTCGTTGAGTACAATATTCTTAGCTACTTTCAAAAGATGTTTTTAAAATATGATTTTTATGTACACATTGGATAAGAGTAGTGAAAATATGCATCCCTCCAACTTTTTACATATATTTATTTCTCTTTTTTGTTCCCATGTAACTCTAAATTGCTGGTCTTAAAAAGTACGGTCTTAAATCTCTAATTTTTATGGTTAATAAAGTCATGGTTTTTTCATAAATCAAAGAGCCAGTCTACACCTAAAAATTTATCAAATATTTTAACGAAAAAATAGTTTACAACTGAATTCTGTCTCTAATATAAAATTTATATTTCAATAAAAGATGAAATAATTTAAAGAAATATGCAACTTCTTGCGTCTTACCTTTTGTAACATCGAAAAAAACTTTGGACATCCTAAATTCTCGATAAGCGAAAGAAAAGGTGCTATATGGACCGGTATAGGTTGCCAAGAAATATGCTCGTTCCACAGTTGGTAGCCTTTCGGTGGATATAAACCTGCTAAGTTTGCATATGCTGACATTAAAGTTCGATCAATGTCGGTAGACCAAGCGTATATTTCTTTGGAATGATAGAATTCGCTGAGGAAGGAACTGTAACGATGGCGAAACCACTGACCTAACTTGTAGTGCCGATCAATACCTTTCTGAAACATAAAAATGTATTATTAAAATTAAATAAATATAGATATTTTTATAGTCATTAGTATTATGAATTATTTATTTAAATTGGACTCTGATTATTCAGTAGTAATTATTGTAGCACTTAAGAAATTGAAAATCTACCGATCTGCCGATCTACTTAACTAATCAGCCAATAACATCCCGATTTAGATATAGGCATCCCTCTTTATGGTTGTCTTCGGTCATTTTCATCCACCTCGATACCGCATATGATCCTACATCATCAGACCATCTATTTTCTGTGTTGTTTGTAATTTGTTGGTATGAAATATCTAATACGTTTGTTCTATTGGTCAATCGTCTGCCTCGAAGTATGGTCAGAAAATTTTTAGTTTATGTTTTACTAAGTAGACTAAAATTAGAAACAGAGAGACTAGGATTAATACCAGAGTAAAACACTCCAGCGAACTACAAGTACTTATTCCAACAGAATACATAATAGCCAAATTCATAGATAGAAAATACATAGCAGCAGCCTCCCTGGATGGAAGCAAAGCTTTCGACAGAGTCTAGAGTAGATACAATTGGAAACACACAGGCTAGAATTTTACCTTAGAAACCATAACTTTAATTTGGTTTTAGAGCAAAACAATCCAGCGAACTACAAGTACTTAGTCTAACATAATACATAACAGATGCATTCATCGATAGACAATATACAGTAGCTTTCCTGGATGTAAGCAAAGACTTTGACCAATTATTGCATAAAAGATTATGTATTAAAGCATAAAGTATAAAACAAGAGACTTCGGATACAGTGGTATGACGAGGCTCATCTTCTCGTACTTAGGCAACCGGAGGTTTAGAGTTCGGATAGGATAAGTCCTGTCTGAGCTCGGTGCCAATTTATACGGCCGATGTGCTAAAAATAACAGGGAGAATGCTTAGTCTTTATGCAGATGATATAGCAATTGCAAAATTGAAATTCATGGGAAAACAATAAAGCAGTAAGCAAGGTTTAGATATCTGGGAATAGATATAAATAGTTACGGAGATGTCGAAGAAGAAGTACGACAACAAAGCATAAAAGCAAGTAAAGCGGCTGGTTCTCTTAATGACACAATCTGGAAGAACAAACACCTAAAACAAGAGACAAAAACAAGAGTAGCAGCAATTAAACCTATATTAAAATAAACGGCGGAGACAAGAAACATATAAAACGAGACGACTGCTAGACACAACAGAGATGAAAGTACTCCGACAAATATCAGGAAGAAGTCTGTTGGATAGGGAGAAAAGCGAAAACATAAGAAGAGCATGCAATATAGAAGACCTAAATGAATGGATGACAAAACGAAAACAGGAGTGGAAGGATGAACACATTAGTAGAATGGCAGAGGATAGAATACACAACGTACGATGGACTAAATTTTAAACCAATGTAGATGCAACAGTCCAAAAAAATAACAATGGCCATTACTTTAATATGAAGTCTCACAGGTAGAAGAAGCAAACTTCGCATTAAAACAAAACTAAGACTGATAAACAGTATCATTTTACCTTCAATTCACGTACGAATATCTTGCATGGAGTCGCATAAGTGTAAGTCACAAAAAGAAAATACAAAAAGCACAAAACAACTGCCACAGAGAAACTACAAATATGCCCAGGTACGTCGCTGAACGATTCCTGTTCAGAGAACTACAACAAATAAAAGTACTAGACACGATAGAAAAAACTCAAAATAAAATTCGCCAAACTAGAAGACCATCCAACTCCGAAACTACAAGAAATATTAAGATACGATTTGTACCATCGACGGAAGCAGAGAACACCAAAATAGCAAATACTGGCAACCATATAAAAAAAATCCAGAAAATGGTAGCTTTATTAACAGAAGATAATTAATTTATGGCAATGGTAATTTACAAACCATATTTTTGTTTCAGACTTAAGTCAAAAAAACTTAAAAATGGTTTCGACCATCGAAAAATTGAAAATTTAAAAAATCTTAACAAAAACCAAAACCAACTAACAAAACAAAAAAAACATGGGCAAGAGGGTCCCACATCCTCGAGCGCCGAGTTTCAACTGAAAATGTGTTTAATTTTAATTAACTACAGTACATAATATTAAACTACAATAAGAAAATCGATTCAGAACAAAGTCACTTTTTTAGGGTAAAGAACTTAACTAACTACCTTTATTTTTTATATAGTAGATTTGTTGAGGTCTCGAGAGTTTGTATGATAGTTATTGGTATAACAGCTCCTAGAAAAGACAAAAGTTATAAACAGCTTTTAGAAAAGACAAAACGACCTCTTTTACAAGAAAAATTTGTTCTGTTCTTGATTCCAATTAACGAAAAATTCGCGCCCGTATTATGATGTGTAATGTGGTATTTGATACTATATTTTCAGGCTTTTGCACTATTATATTTGTGTTGCTGTACCATGATAAGAACTGTAGTTTGGAGACAGAAATTAATAATCTTATCTATTAAAAGATATTTTTGGTTCCTAAAATATTTTAGAGTCATTTTGATATTTCATCTCAATTCATTTGTTTCGATTATCAGCATTTTTTGTGCATATTTTTTTAGATATTTAGTTTTTCGATGACAAACACTAAAATTCTTTATAATATAATATTTTCGTGGAAAAGAAAATGTTGAAAAAATATTGTTTTTATAAATAGTAGTATAATTATAAAAATTATTACCTTTGTTATTTGCCCAAATCCCATAGGCCAATAGGTTAGGTTATAATACCTATCTGTAGGAAACGAAGTGAATGGTGCTCTATCTCCATGTCTAGACACCTAAAAATGTAATCTATAAAGTTGTAAATGTAAGTAAATATTTAAAATTTAGATTAAGATACTACTTGACTACTGATAACCTATAACCGAAGAAAAGCAATGTGTAAACTACAATCAAAATTGGGTTATATTGTGAATAGCGTTCACAACAAATATTTTATCTTGCTTACAGCTTTTAGCTTTTAGACTTCTCTTTTACGAAAAATACAATATGTACTAAATTAAAACAAAGTAAAAATTTTAAAAGGGGTATGCATTGAATAAAATCTAACAAATGCTTAACAACAAAAGTAACAATAAATACTATTCTAATTAGTAATAAAGTAAAGTTCTTGTATTATAGACCTACTAGCCTGTTCAACCATATATATATATATATATATATATATAAGCTTTTCACTAGGTTAGTCATATTAAGATTGAGAAAAAATTAGATTTCTACCGACCGAGAGAACAGACCAACAAGTAATCAAATTATCGCATCAATGATTATCTCCATACAGTAAAGACTCTCATTGAAAAGTTATAGAATACAACAAACCTCTTCCACAAGGAAACTAAGTTCCTGTAGCTAGTTATATACCATGTATCACAAAACATTTATTTAAAAATTTCTTTATAAAAGGTATATATTAAAACTCCCTATCGGGCTACATCATAAAACGTTTTCAGAATTAATATTCCATCATCAGTTCTATCTGGATGTACATGTTTTGAGCCACTAAATACTTGGGTAAAAATTCTTTAACTGTTGTTAAATTCAACGTTTAACTTAATTATTTGATTTTATATACTAGGGTGTTTTTATATACTAGGAAGTTACAACAAAACTAGATAACATAGCAGCGTAAGACTCTACTGTAATACAGGTTGCTAGTCCTGAGACAAAGTGACCTCTTGTCCTCACTTTCATAGATTTTCATAAAGCGTTCAACACGATCGAAATAAACAGCCTTATACAAGTAATGAATGACAGCAGGATTAACCATAGGGATAGTGAACTTATTTACAATATTCACAAAAATGCCACTATGACTGAAGATACACGATAAAAACTGGCCAATAAAAATACAACGTGGGATAAGGCAAGGAGATACATTATCAGTAGTAATATCCCTAGGACATTGATAACAGACAAGATAATTTCATGACAATCGAAAGCTCGTTCCTTGGTAACAGCACGAAGCCGAAGGCTCGTTCCTTGGTAACAGCACGAAGCCGAAGGCTGAGTGCTGTTACCAAGCAACGAGCTTGAGAAATTTGTCATGAAATTATGAGGCATTCATCAATGTCCGAGGGATATTCAGCGGATAATTTTTTGAAAAAAAAATCATAACTCAACATAACGAAACATTTATTTATTAAAAGTACAGTTAGTGAAAGTACAATTATTAAAATTTAAGTTAACATTAGATTCGTTGCTGTTCTATACTATAGAAGATCTATTACCACGCATAATATTTATAATCTTGTTGTGGTGTTCTTGATTGAAACGTGACATTTTTGAAATTTATTTGGATGAAGTAATCAAACTCGATCGTGTTGTCGTAGGGATTGAAAATTGCACTGAATAAAATTATCAGTCTAATGTTGACATGATTGGGTGAAATTGTTCCACATGACACAAAATTACGAAATTTGAATGGTTGTTAGAACAGTCGAATAATTATCACCGAAATTATTCTTAATGGCATTAGAGTATGCCTATAGAATAGTCAATCGGGACCACAGAAGAGTAACAATAAACGGAGAAAACCATCTCCGTTTTGCAGATGATTTTGTTCTTATAACAGATAATTTAGAAAAAGCCACAGATATCTTATATTAGTTGGACTTTGCATATTAGAAGGTGGGCCTCGGAATAATCTTGACCAAATATGCCCAATAACCATTTAACTATCCAAAACAAAGTGGTAAAGTGATTGAGAAATATACGTATTTGGGTCATAAAATAAGAATCAGCAGGGATAACCAAACATGCGAAATCCAAAGACGAATTACTTTAGCATGAGCAACCTTTGGAAAAGTGCGAGACATACTTAGGGCCAACGCCAATGGAAGGGTCTATGCTGGGAGTGACGTTGCGGGACCAAATAAGAAACAAAATCCACAAGGAAAAATTCCTGTAGCTGGCTGTATACCACGTATAACAAAAAGAGGTTAATCTTTGTAAATGGGTATATTTATTTAAAAAACCCTTAAAAGGGCCACATCAATAAAACAAACGTTTTCGGACCACACAGTCCATCATCAGGTTATTAAAATCGAAAATGCTAGGTCATAATGCCTGAGCCACCAAAATATTAGGGTAAAAACCCTTTAAATTACATTTAGTTATGAAATGTTGTACATTGTGTTATAAAATAACTGTGAAGTTCAATATTAAATTAAATTTGACTATAGGTAACACATGGTAAATTGGGTTCCAGAGCCGGGTGAGAGGGAACCTCTGCACTCGGAGAACAACGTGGACAACGTGTTTTTTTTTTTTTTTTTTTTTTTTTTTTTTTTCAAATAAGAAACGTCTGAATAAGATCTGCGAATAAGAACGAGTATTGCTGACGTTGTGGAATGCATAGTGGAACTGAAATCGAACTGAACAGGCAATGTAACGAGAATGTATGACCACGATGGACGAGCAAAATAAAAAATTAAAGGTCAAGAGAAGACAAACGTAGTAGAGGAAGACCACCTACACGTTGGACTGACGACATCAGGCGTATCACCAACAATTGTCAACAAAAAGCACAAAATCACAAAAAATGGAATTGTTTAAGGGAGGCCTATGTCTAGCTGTGAACGTGAATAAACGTAAATGAAGGCTGGATGATGATGAAAGTTCTTGTATATGTAGTCAATACTGTAGAATTCTCGTAATCAGGGGAATCTTATTTCTATTATTACTCTCTTAGATCCACAGGAAATTAACCAATCTAATAGGATATGTATACATTATTCGTTTTATACTAATACTACACAGAATCTGCCAAATACATTAGCTTTAATTTTTTGAGTTCTTTTTTGAGCTTCTAGTCTCCTAGAAGAATTTTTGATTGTTCTAGTTCTCTTTCGATTTTTTCTGGCATTACTAATTTTGTAAATATTTGTTCCATAATATAGCGATTAATAATGTTAGACATTTATATTAAGCTATAAAATTATATAAACCAGTAAAGAAATGAAGAGTCTGAATATGCTAATACAGGGGTCGGCATAAGTCAGACAACAAACTTACATTAACATAAAAAATGCAGCCCCAAAATAAATTTATTCAAAGAAATTAAAAAAAAAAAAGGGTTACTGTCTTCTTCTTGTAGTGCCTATCCATTTCGGATGTTGGTAACCATCATGGCAATCTGTATTTTACAAATTGCGGATCTGAAAAGATTTGTGGTTGTTGTGTAGAACCACGTACGTAGATTATTCAGCCAGGAAATTCTTCGCCTTTCTGATTCTCGTTATTATGCGTAATACATACAGCTCGCCTAAACGGACTAATGTTTTAGAACGGTTTGTTTCGAAAAAAATGGCAACAGTTTGTGAGACGCGATGGAATTTTAAATCTCGGTTAGTTTTCACTGTAGCAGATTTTCGTGAATAGCTTTTGGAAGTATTTGATTTTATTATTGAATGTGACGATTTTGAAAGTGATGATATCTCGATCCGTGAAGCAATCGGTTTGAAAACTTTATTAAATCTCTTGATATATAAACTCTTTTACCATACTTTTAAATATTTTTAAGAAAGTGTTTACCCAAACCGATTTGATATTCAATGTTGTTCAAAATCAGTTAACTGCCATTATTCATTTCAAAAATAGAATAACAAGACTGGTGCAAAATCTCAGAGATTTTCGTAATTTCCAGTAATACGCAGTGACGTTTTAAACTCGCTTGATATTTCCGAACCCCCCCCCCCCCAAAAAAAAAAAGATAAAAGCATGACACAGAAACAGATCTCGAAAAACGAGTATATTTTGAAATTTTGGATACTATTATTATGCAAATAGATACACGTTTTTCGAATTTTAAAGATTTGCAAATTTTTGACCTCTTTGACGATTCAAAATTTAAAAGTTACGCCAAAGAATTTCCAAGATATTTATTAGACAGGTTAATTAAAAATTATCCATCATTCTTTAATAAAATAAAATTAGAAAATGAATTAAAAGTTCTATATGCTGATCCAAATATTTTCGGAAGATGGGATAAGTTACAAGATATGTATAATTTTATATACTGCAATTCATTACAACAAACTGTTACCGAAATTAATAAATTATTGTCATTAATTCTCTTATTACCATCAACGTCTGCCTCAAATGAACGAGATTTCTCTTGCCTCAAAAGAATCAATACTTATTGTCGAAAAACCCAGTTTGCTACTTCCAAACAACGTAGACTAGAGTTAATTTATAAACATGTTTAGGTTCTAAATATATAGAAAAAAAAACAAAAAAAAAAACAAAAAAAAAAGAAAACAAAAAATCTCCTATGATGATTGAAGTCTTTATTAGACGGTATACCTATCTGAGGAGACAAAAAATACCTTGCCGACCTTGTTTCTCAAGCCACGAGCCGCCACTGCAAAGCAGTACACATATTATTACCCAAAACCAGGTGTATGAAGTCAATTAATCCGACATCCAAAAGTAAAAAAGAGCAAGAAGAGAAAGATTAATAAAAATGCATGGAAAGAAACCATCAAAGGTAAGGAGTCGTTTTCTCGAAAACTCCAAAGAAGACAAATAACAAACTGTCGCAGTAAATGCTACTTAAAATTAAGCGAAGAAGAACAAAACCAAATGTTCAAGGCCTATCACAGTTTACCATCATCTACACAACAAAATTTATACCTTGAAGGTTGTGTACGTCCTACAGATGTCAAACGGAAAGATCAAGAAAATCTATCGATCCACAACATAGAGGTCGAAGCTTTGTATATGAAATAAAGATTGAAGGAAAGCTGATAACACTTTGTCAGTCGGCATTTTTAGTAGTACAATCTAGAGGATTTTATAGGTCTTCATCACAGTAGGCCAAATAGAACAAAAATTGATACTTTAACCGCAGGTAAAAAATTTATAGAATAATTGCTAGCTCGAAAGTCTTATTACAGCAGAATTGATAATAAACTTTTCAAGTACTTGGAGTCCCATTTATCTGTTGTTAAACTTCACTTAAACTTCTTAAAAAAGAATCAAGATAAAAAAGTATTATATAAGATGTTTAAGAAAATTTTTACAGAAGAATATAACATATAATTTGGATTGCCAAGAAAATACATATAAATATAAAGAATGCACTCTATTTCTAACACGTTTACAATAAGCTGAAGTGATTCATGATAAGACATGATACGACAGAACAACGTTATTTGAAACTTTTTTGCGACAACTCCTTCTGCCAGAATAAAAATAGATATTTGTTTGTCTTTGTGGATCAAATTTGTTCCAATAATATTTTCAAATCTATAGAAAGCATGTATCCAATACCCAGTCACAGTATGATGCCAGAGAGATTTCGCTGTAATTGAAAAACAAAGAGTGAAGTACGACAAAGTTGACAACCCTGAAGTTTATGTTATTCTGATTAAAGGCAGTAATAAGAAAAATCCATTTGATGTCGTATTTGTACAGCATTCGCTGAGGTCAAACGAAAGTCTGGAAGAAGATCTTAGCATAAAAGTCAAACACTATAAATTATGGTTAGACACCCATATAACAAAAAACTGTGCCATTAATTTCGAAAGCTAGACGCATGAAATTTTCGCGTAATGAGCAAACACAGCTCAATGCAATCTATTTTGGCCCAATGGAACCATTCAAACTTTACAAAGTGAGTCAGAACTGTAAACTTTGCGACCAACCCACGTCGGCCTATGCGAATGAATACTTTTAAATTAAACAGTTGAAATTTGACAACATAATTTATCTTGTCAAACACTTTATTATATTGGACACTGAATTCTTTACTCGGAGTATGTGTAAAAATGGGATAATGGGATAATAATCCAACAAAATAACCTTTTGATTAAAAAACTTCATCATCTGACGCAGTTTATAAATAGCTTTTTTGCATATCACGTTCTAATCTTTGCTGCAAGAGTCTTTGTAATTCATGCAATGTTTATGTTCTTACATTACTTATATTACTTACTTACATTTTGTTCGTTCTTACGACGTTACACAAATAATTTTATTTCAGTATAAACGCAATTTTTTTTTATTATATATCTTTAATTTTCGACGAAATAACAAACTGCAACACAATATGTGCTTAAGTCACAAAATATTTAGTTTTTTTTAGAAAATATCTAAGCTTTATATTTTGTTTATTTATGAAAATCGAAAAACCTTTACAAAAATAATGAATCTGAACACACCTTTTGATTATAACATTTTCAGTAATATTTCAAAATCAAAAATAAACTTTCAAACCTTAATATCCCACAATTACCTATTTGTGACAAAGGCACTTTTTGCATTGACCCCTTAATGTAGATTAGTTGTTGTCAAACACCACTACCGAATTATTAATGGTAACTTGTGAGGTAAAACAGCGTGTGCTTAATTTAAGACGAGGTATGTCAATAAATTATCTAGGAGTGTAAACCATTCGATAAAAAGAATATAATTGTTTACTTACTGCGACCACAGCCACTAGTTCATCGTCGCTATTTTCGATAGGAACACTGTATCCTAAATGTACCAATAATAATACTAATAAATTTATTTTACTAATAAATAGGTCAACCATGTTGCGTATGCAATGAAACAATAATACCTTATTAAACTTATTTGTATTGCTAATAACAAACTGGTCTCTTTCACTAATAATTATTAAATACCCACTGTACTATAATGTGTCACATTCTTTTAAAAATACCACGTTTTTGTTCTGATTAAGTTTAGTTCATTACTAAAAGAAAAATGGACTGATAAAAACCAAGTTATTATTGTTTTTGAATAACGAGTGATAATCTTTGACTGGCAGTACTGGCTAATTTTTAATATTTTGGTCCTTGCGTATTTGCTGACCTTAAAATATTTTCGAATTTATATTAAGTTTTATCTTGTATTTATCAGCTTTTGTGACTTTTTCATTTCTGTTTAAAAAATATGTTAAAATAACATTAGGTTTATAAATGTCTGTACAATTATTGTGAGTATAATCATTTCATTGTATTGATAAGGAATTCTAATGAATACAATTTTAAAATTAAAAAATAATCATTGGAATTCTATATTTTCTTCGTATTTGTAAAATGCGTGTATAGAAACTTTTACGCTGAATATAAATATCCCTTATAAAAAGGTATGAAGAATTATACATACAAGACTTACCAAGCGTGGTTGAAAGCATATTAGTTACACTTAAATTCACATCTAAAGATATAGCCGATATTCTTATACTTATTCTAGGTTCAAAAAACTGGTAAGAATTTACACTATTTTTTAAAATTTACCTGTAGTATTCTAAAAACGTTTGTTCAGATCAAAACAGTAACAGACTAACATTTTCAATCACCGATCTTTTTAATCTCATTGTCCACTACATAATTAAAACAAAACTATTCACAAAACTATTAAACATGTTTCCAAAAATGCTTCTTTTATCAACGAATCCAGTTTCAACTCAGTTATAGCTCCGTGGGAAGCTCAAAGCGCTCATCAATCAAACAAAACCACATCTCTCTCTGCTCTTTCAGTAAAACTTTTACTTACAACTGCCCTAACTACAGTTTACTCCAAGTATAAACTTCCAAATATCAAAAACTACCATACCAAAGGTAGAGAAAATATTTTCCTCTTCTTCTTTCTCAGTTTTTCCCTTTTCAGATGTTGCTGGTCCTTATTCTCTTCGCTACTTATTTCGGCCTATCGTGTCTTTATTTAAACATTTCTTACACAAGTTTTCTATCACAGAGTCCTTTCATCTTCTTCTTGGTTTTCGTCTACCTCTTTTTCTCAACTTCTAACAGCTTTATTCTTCGTTCGCCATAGTTCTCATTTCTACGTCTGACTTGACCAAACTATTGCAATATTTGTTCTTAAACCTCTTTTGAGACTGTAGTTTTAAAATTTTGGACTTTTCTCCGAACCGATTTTGGACCCGTTCTCTGTCGGCTGCTGTGAGAAATAATTCTTCTGTGTAGCTCAATTGTTCCACTTCCTTTCTTTCAAACATATCGTTTATTGATATATTGATAACAGATTAGCACAAAGAAACGAATTTAAAAAAAGTTAATTTCCCTAAAAAAGACAAAAGGCACGGTTTTAATAGCAAATCTACTCAGGTGTAAATTAGATTTGTAGTGTCAGATAATAGAAAAGTGATGAAGTTTGTATATCCAGGCATCACACTATCTAGCTACGCAAAGCTCGAAACAGAAGTAAAAGATCAAGTGAATTGAGTAAAGCAGGTTTCTCGAATGAAAGAATATGAAGAAATAAAAATATTAGAAATGCAATAAAAAATAGAATTTACAAAACAGTCATTAGACCAATAATGAGATACATGGCTAAAACACGACGTGACACAGAGAAAACAAAAGGCATGCTAGAAATAGCAGAGATAAAAAACCTTAAAAAAATCGATGGCAAGACATTATGGAACAGAGATAGAAGTACATGTATACGATAAATATGTAAAGTGGAGAAGGTCAAGGACTGAGTAAGAAAGAGAAGAATAAAGTGAAACGATCATATAATCCGAATATCAATAAATAGGGTAGTAAAGACGTGAAGACGTCCAGTAAGAAGACCACAAAAACGACAACTTACTGAAGGCACGTTAAAAAACAGAAAGTCAGCGTCATGTCTGCACAAAAAGAAAAAGAAAAAGATAAACTTGTCATTTATTTACTTTCAAGTAACTTGGGAAAACACATCAACCAATATAGCAATTTAACTAATTGGATGATTCAGGAATTTTTATTCCAATTTATTATCCATTAAGATATTGCAGAATTTTATCAATGCATTTAAGTAAAGTTTTTGTAAACCATTTTAACTTTTATCTACTTTAGTTTTGACTTTATTAAAACTGGTGTGTTAAACCTTTAGAGGAGCAGAATAACATTACCTTTAATAACTAAGCTAGTAGAAGAGATTATATAACGTTACACATTTGTAATCCAATATGAATAATATATTTGACTAATATTCTATAATTCTCCAAAGATATGTCATCAGTCTTATTTTAACTGATTTACGTACAGCTATTTAGTATAACCGAAAAAATAATATTGCATTGATAAAAATATTGACTCTGGACTATTTTTACGAATTTTACAATCTTTTGTATGATGTATTATTATAATAAGGCATATTTTAAATATTAAATCTTAGTTTTAACAAAAAATTAATATGTATAATAATAAATTAGAATATTAAAATTTACAACCCCCAAGCAATTACATAAATTTTAAAAGATCTTATTACTTTAATTTCTGGAAGATTCTATTTTGCACATGACAGATGATAGATTATCCGGTTAAAAAGTAAATTTTCAGGAATTAAACTGGGTACAATCAAACTTACTGTGACTACAAATTCATTATCAGGCCAAAAATATATGTCTATTTCTAATAACTTAGTGGCATGAAAAAAATTTATTAAGTTTCCATAGCTCTTGAAAAAAAATCACATAGTTTAGATAATTAATTACAAATATTGGTTCCAATCCCTTAGAGTAAAACGTTATATATTAACTGGAATCTTACTTGAAATCATTATAAATATTGATGGAGTTACATGATACGAAAGTCCGGACCTGGCAGAATCGCAACCAACACCTGCAACTTACTCTGCAGTTTCCCCTAGAAGTTATCATATTGTTTCTTTAATTATTCGCATTGTAAAATCATTATTATTCTTGGTCTTGTTCAGTTTAGATGTATTTATTTGTAGCTTACAAAAAAAAATATTTTTTTAAAAACAAATTTCATTTTTGAAATATAAAATTGGCGCAGTCAGTAGGATTTGTGCGAGTCGCGAAACTGTGAATTTCGTATCTATCGGAAAGCAGACTTTTTCGGGACTTTGGTGTTTCAACGCCTTAAGTACAAATCCAAAGAACATTCCGTTTAGTGGAAAGCAGCCCCCATTGGAAAGCAGCCCTTCAGTGACAGCAGTCCTTCATTTGGGTGGACGAATCTGGAGAAGTAGTTGGCAAAGACTATCGAGGTGAGTGCCAAGTTCCTTCTTGCCTTCCTTTTATTTTTCATAAATTTGGAAGATAGCTTGTTAAGACATTGTTTATTAGACGATATTTTCATTTTATGATTAATGCTGATTCCTTGGTAGAATCTCTTAAATATCTAAAGATTAACTTTAAAAGTAGGAAAAATAAAGATAATAAAAATATTAAAATGGCAACTAACCAAACTGTTCAAGCTAATCAAGCGACGGCAACGCGTCCCATTAATTGGGAACTATTTAAGTCAAAAATTTCAAATATTAGACCTTATGATGGAGATACTAATACTTTAAATAAATTTATTTATCTTTGCGATAACTTAATTATTACATATAGAGCATATAATGACCAAGAATTAAATGATCACATTTTTGAATGTATTCAAGGAAAACTTATAGGAAAAGCTGAGCTTATGGTAGGAAATAGGGTAGAATTAAATAATTGGGCACTTTTAAAAGCCGCACTTATACAATGTTTTTCTGATAAACGTAATTTACAATCCTTAATACAAGAACTTACTAGAACTAGGCCACAAAGAAATGAAAATTTAATAGAATTTGGAAATAGATTACAATTGTTAGCAAGTAATATAGTACAAAGAATTAGCAATGATACTAGTCTTGATGTAAATCAAAAAACTGTTTTCATACAATTTTGCGAAAATACAGCACTAAATACTTTTATTGCTTGTTGTACCGGCACATTAAAAAATAATTTGCATTTAAAAGCACCAGCTTCTTTGGAACACGCCATAGCTTATGTAAATGAATTTGAGAATTTCGAGAAATTTTATTTAAGTAATAATGACAATAAGTCGCACCAAAATAAAGGCAATTTCAGAAATCGGAATTTCCCTAATCCAAACGGGCAATTTTATAATCCCATGAATAATCAATATTTTCAAACAAATGCTTCTATTCCCCAAAATCCAAACTTTAATACAAATAATAATTATCCCCAAAATTTCCAATGGCCCCGCCAACCTATTAATGTACAGCCTCAACAGTTACCCCCTAAAAGACTCCCAACTAATTCACAAGTCTTTGGACCTTCCCGAAATACGAATGTTTTCAGACTAAATCGAACTCCCCAACATCGCGTCCCAAAGCCGGAACCGATGAATATTTCTACAAATTCTAGATTCCCTTCAAAGTCTAACAGAAGAACAAATAATTTTAATAGAAACTATTTTTAAAATAATGGGCAAAAGCCGAATATTATAGTTGAAGAATTATATAATAATGGTTACGATAGACAAGAATGCGAACAGACGCATAGCGACGTCGACGCAGATATCCATTCCGGTGAACAAGTAGATTTAGATTATTTTCCTCAGAATTTTCAAGAAACCGCCTCAGAAAACCAAACAACTTAATCGAATTAACTCTAACCTCTAATAACCCTTTACCTTACTATCACTATTTCTAACCCCCCATTAAAATTATTAATTGATACTGGTAGTACGAAATCAATCTTAAAACCCAGTATTGCTGAACAATTTTATCCAGATTGCATATATCCTTCAAACGTTTCAATTTCTACGTCTCTTGGCACGAAAAATATCAAATACCAAGCAGCCATACCGGCGTTCCAAGAATTTAATCGAAACAATATACTGCACTACATATTATACGACTTTCATGAGTTTTATGATCGCTTGGTCGGTGTTAATGACCTATTATCCATGAAGTTTAACATTGATTTTAGTAATAAATGTCTCGTTAGCAGAGACACAATAATTCCTATTAAATTTAGAAAACCATC